TTCCATCCTTGGTTCGTATCTACGGGGCTCGACGGCGGAATGCTACCGAGTCAACGCTAATACGCTAGCTTTACGGCGCTAGGCAAACGCTGTTCGAGCCATAACCCTGCAATGGCAGAACTTTTCGGAGGCAACTTTGTTTATTTTTAAACCTCTTGGAGCGAGCTTCGATATAGGAAATTTTCAGATTAATCCGATCGACGGTCTGCACGATATGCTGCGTGACGTTCAAGGTACTCTTGCTGTTTTGACTAATTCCATCTTAATCTCTCTCTCTACATACTCGGACCCAAGGATAGGGGCTGGTCTTGTACCAGGGACCCAGGGACCCTTGGAGGTGACCCCGAGGAGAGGGTTTAAGTTGCATAACGTCTTAATAGTTTGAGTTTATTAGGCCCGTACACCAACATATGGTTGGTACAAAGAGTAGGTACGTTATTTACGCATATGATTGATGCTAAGCATAAGTCAGCTAGTTACCAATATGGATCGAACTAAGTATAAGTATGTTACTTTCCCATACTAAGAGTATGTGCGCTATTCACCCAAATGTTTGGTATTCAACGTAACTGCGTAACTTATCCATATGGTTGGTACTGATACTAAGTGCGTTGCATACCTATATGGATAGTACTAAACATAAGTGCGTTACATACCCATACGAATGGCACTCAACGTAAGTGCATTACTTACCCATATGGTTGGTATTAAGCGAAAGTGCGTTAGTTATCCATATGGTTGGTACTGAATTTGGTGCGTTACTTACCTATATGGTTGGTACTAAGCACATGTGCGTTACTTACCGATATGGTTTTTATTTGGAATATGTGTGTTAATTAACTGAGTTAGTTGCCCATATAGATGGTACTATGTGCGTTACTTTCCCAGATGGTTCGTACTAAGCGTATGTGCGTTACTTTCCCATACGGTAGATACCAAATGTAAGTGCGTTACAAACCCTTTTGGTGGTACTAAGGGTAAGTTTTTTATTTATCCATATGGTTGGTACTAAGCGTAAGAACGTTACTTACCCATATGGTTGGTACTAAGTGTAAAAGCTTTACTTACCCATACGGATGGTACTAAAAGTAAGTTCGTTACCTACCCATATGGTTGATACTAAGAGCACTACTCACCAATATGGTTGGTACTAAGAGTAAGTGTGTTACTTACCCGAATGGTTGGTACTAAGCATAAGAGTTTACTTACTAATATGGTTGGTACAAAGAGTATGTGCAGTACATACCCATATGGATAGTATAAAGTGTAAGTGCGTTACTAACCCCAAACCCTGGATTGTACTAGGAGTAAGTGCGTTACTTACCCACATAGATGGTATTCGAAATGAGCGCGTTACTTACACATATGGTTGGTACTAAGTGTAAGAGCTTTACTTACCCATAGGGTTGAGACTAAGAGTAAGTGCGTTACTTACCTATAGGGTTGGTACTAAGGGTAAGTGCATTACTAACCTGTATGGATGGTACTAAGAGTAAATGCGTTAATCATCCATACGATTGGTAATAAGAGTAAGTGCGTTACTTACCCATACGGCTGGTACTAGGGCTAAGTGCATTACTTACCCATATGGTTGGTACTAAGAATAAGAGCGTTAATTACCTATATTGTCTGGACTAAGAATAAGTGCGTTACTTACCTATGAGATTGATACTAAGTTTAAGTGAGTTAGTTACCCATATGGATTGTACTAGGAGTAAGTGCGTTATTTACTTATACTAAAGCTAAGTGCGTAACTTACCCATATGGTTGGTATTAAATGTAAGTGTGATACTTACTATATGGTTGGTACTGAGCGTAAGTGCGTTACTCACCCATATGGTTTGTACAAAGAGTAAGTGCATTACTTACCCAAATCGTTGGTACAAAGCGTAAGTGCGTTACTTATTATTATGGTTGGTACTAGGCGTAAGTGCGTTTCTATTCTATATGGATAGTACTAACAGTAAGCGCGTTACTTACCCATATGAATGGAACTAAACGTAAGTGCGTTACTTACCCATATGGTTGATATTAAGCATTGTCGGAAACTATCCCTACATCCATCTATGCTTCTAACCGCTCAGCTCACTCCTCTCTTGAAGCCTTTCTCTTCTCTCGTGTGGTTCTCTCAGTTGCATATTTCTCTGGGACTTGATCTCACTGCTCCTAGTCTCACCCCTCATTGCTCTCTTCCTTCATTGCTTGCTCACTGACGCTCTCCCCTTGTTACTCTCATCCCTCTCATCTCCTGCTCAGTTGCCTGATCCCTTTTCCTCTCTCTCCTTCACATCTCTTGTTGGCTGACCCTCAGATCACTTCACCCTTCTCTGTCTGATTATCTGAACATACTGCTTATATCCGTGATGAAATGTTTCCTGATGAGCTCTAAGCTCCGTCACATAGCCTCACACGTCTCCTCCTATTTCGTTCTTAGCTTGCCATATCTCCCTATGACCACTACTTGCTCGGTTTACAGCAAGAAAAAAATGTTGAAAGGAAACATACAAGCAATGAGGCCTGCTCAACAAGAATTCACGTATTCTACCAGCTATATCTTCTCCTGCTCCTATCCTGTCATACCCTAGTAGCCATAGCTACCTACTAGCAGACTTGCATCCAGATTGCCTCTTGCCACCCTTCCCCGCCTTAGGCTACTTTGCCTCCAGCTAGCATTGTATTGTTCGAGCTGGCTCCTTGGAGCGATCATGCCCACACATGGAAACAAACACACATGCATACGAACACCCATCCAAGTGCTGGTGGAGAACCTTCTCTTCCCTTGCCGTTGCCAAGCGCTGTAATTCTTCCCTGCTGCCAACCTTCGCTTACGTAAGTGCAGCCCCAATTGCTCTCCATGCAACTCCCCCACCCTTCGCTTCGGCAGACGTCATCCCCCCTTGTATTTATCGCCTTCTTGAACTGTCACTTGACCTTTCGCCTTCCATCCTCCATATTCTCTCGACTCGCTATGTACAGTACTTCCATTATGTACATCCCCCATAGTACCTGATCTCCTCCCTTCACATTCATGCAAACATGACAGCTGTCGGAAACTTCCCCCACCTCCATCTATGCTTCTCACCGCTCAGCTTACTCCTCTCTTGAAGCCTCCCTCTCCTCTCGTGTGGTTTTCTCAGTTGCATCTTCCTCAGGGACTTCATCTCACTGCTCCTGGTCTCATCCCTCGTTGCTTTCTTCCTTGGCTGCTTGCCCACTGATGCTCTCCCCTTGACACTCTTATCCCTCTCATCTCCTGCTCAGTTGCCTGATCCCTTCTCCTCTCTCTCCTCTACATCTCTTCCTGGCTGCCCCTCAGATCGCTTCCCCCTTCTCCCTCTGCTTCTCCTGCTCCCTCCCATGACCACTTGCCGCCGTCCTCGCCCTGGTCATGGGACCACTCCCTGACCTTCTTACCCTTGCCCGCTACTTGCACATTAGTTACATGGTCCATGACCCGTTTGACCCTTCTCATCCTCTAGCACCGATTGTCAGGATTCCCGCACCTCCTTCACACTCCAATGCCGCTGAGACACGCTCATGTCCAATCCATTCCGCTTCGCCCTCCTCACATACACCTCCTGTCCTTCCTCCACGTTCTGAGACTTGCCCTGTATTTTCCTCAGCTGGCTCTGCTTGTAGCGGTGGGTATCACGCAACTGCGCCACCTTCAAGCTCTCCATCACTGCCGGCAGCATCTTCTTCAGGTATTCTGCTCTTGCATCTGCCGGGGCCACCCATTTTCCGCTGTTCCGGCTGCCACACTGTCGGTCAGCAGGCGAGATGCATCTACTGGCAGAATCGGCTGCTTGCCAAAGAGGAGGTAGTAGGGTGACACATCTTTCAAAGCTGCCTGCTTGCTGAACCTGTAGCCGGCCATAACTCATGCCAGCTTCTTGTCCCAGTCTCCCTTGTGAGCTTCCCCATACACCCTCAAGCCCTTCTTCACTGTCCGCACTGACCTCTCCATCAAGCCATCTGCCTGTAGGTGGTACTGCGATGTGGTGCAATGTTGGATGTCATTGGAAGCCAACATTTTCCCGAATTCCCCTTGAAACTCTGTCCCCTGGTCAGTAAGCACCTCTCTATATGCCCCCAACCTTGTCTGTACCATTTCCTCGAACGCCTCTGCCATGGTGGCCAATGATTTCGTCCCCAGTGCACTCGCCTCCGCCCACTTGCTAACGTGAGCACGATATAGTTCCTTCCTCTCCTGGATACCGGCAGCTCCCCTGCGTATCCAAGGACCAACGGTGGCCTAGTTCCATTATAGCCAGTGGTTGCAGCTCAGCCTGGTTCTTCAACAGCATCGCTTTGCTCCTGCAGCAGAGCTTACACTTCTTCATCCATTCCATTACTTCCTTACGCATACCTGCCCACCACCAGCGGTCTGCAGAAGGTGCTGCGTGCGTAGCGGCCCGTAGTGTTACAATAGTGTCTTAACTGGTAACCGGGTTTAAGGAGGGCCTAGGCTTAGTAGCCTTGGCCAAGCGTGTGTCGAGGTGGTTGTACCAAGAGGATTGAGAATGGTAGGTGGTTCACTATAGCACACGAGTACATATAGCAACCTAACAAAGGTGAAAGAGGTGCACCACCATACAAGGGAATTACACAACAGCTACACTACAGGCAGATTATACTAAATAGATATAAATCTATTTTGACACACCCCCTATCTGCCTGAAGTGCATAACCATGTGCAGAGCCCCCCTTGAAGGGGTACACCTGTAAAACCCCATTACAGGGCGTGGGAACACCAGCAAGGGGCCCCCTCTGAAGCTGACAAGCAGCAACCATCAAGCAGCATCTGTACCACCGCGGTGGAACAGGTGCCCGGGTGTGGTTGAACGCCCCGCAGCAGGTGCACGGTGTGCGAGGAGCATGGGTACGGGTAGCGGGTTCGGGTAGCAACTAGGTGCTGTACGGACGGGCCGCACGGGGGTGATGGGCAGCACGAGACCAGGCAGCACAGACCGGGTGGGGCACGAGCGAGAACTGACAGCATGGGTGGGGCATCAACGGGTACGGACAGCACGGGTAGGGCACAAACGGGCAGAACTGGGCAACACGGGCAGAACGGGGCAGGAAACGGGCTGAACGGGGCAGGACACGGGCTGAACGGGGCAGGATACGGGCTGAACGGGGCAACATGGGCAGAACGGGGCAACACGGGGACAACGGGGCAGCACAGGCAGAACGGGGCAGGACAAGGGCTGAACGGGGCAACACGGCACGGGAACGGGCACGACACAGGCAGAACGGGGCAGCACGGGGAGAGCGGGGCAGCACAGGAACACGGGGGGCAGCACGGGAACACGGGGGGCAGCACGGGAACACGGAGGGTAGCACGGGAAGCACGGGACGCACGAGTGAAACAGGTGGGGCACAACCGGGTACGGACAGCACGGGTGAGACTGGTGGGGCACAACCGGGTATAGGGGATGAGAGGAGGAGGTGGATGATGCTGCAGTTGAACTCTCACCACCCACACCCCCTGAACCTCCCTCCCACAGCAGTTGTAGCGGCAGAGAGAGTGAGGAGGAGGTGTGGTGGCAGCGGATGGGGGTGCAGTTCCACTTCCACACACTTTCATCCTCCCCCCACAGTAGCAGATGCGAGACTGAGAGGAGAGGAGGTGGAGGCGGTTGAGGCTGCAGAATCCTTCTTGGCACCCCCTTACCCTCCCCCCAACAGCCCACCACCTCCGCCTCCACACCCGCTACCTCCCCACTGGCCGCCACCCCCACCACCTCGAGCTAGCACGGTAGCAGTCGCAAGCGCGGCAGGAGCTGGCGGGAGCGTGGGTGGGGGCGACCGGGGGGGGGAGGGGAGGAGGAGGGGATGGGCGGGCGACGGCGCGAGCGGTAGGCTGCAGGAACGGGCAGCGCGCGGGCGACGGGTTGCAGCAGCAGGTGGCACGCGAGCGCTGGTGCGATCGCCGGTGCGCTGGCGGTCGTCGCTTGGCAGAGCGGTCTCTTTGCTCCTCCTCGTCTCCAACATGGAAGATTTAACCCGCGGTGCGCTCCTGTTCCTTCTCAGCACTGCCTTTGCCTTTCGGGTTATCATCGGAAAAATCTGCGACTATATTCACGCCGCTTTTCTAGTTGCTCCGCGCGTCACCATCCTGATGGCGGTTCTGGGGGGTCCATCTTTCGGGTTTCTTATAACACAAGAACAAGGGATGCCCCTCTTTCTCACAATACCAACACTCCCTTTCGTTTTGCCACCTGCACCCGATCTGCCCCCACGTCCAGATTTTCCACCGAGACCCCAATCGGTACCTCCTTGTTGGTCGTTGAGTCGCGTCCTTCTTTGCACCATGACCAGCACAACGGAATCCATGTCCACTGTTGCGTTTGCCTCCTTGCATGCCGTAGCCGCTGCTGCTCTCATCTCCACCTCTCAGTTGGCAGCGACAGAAGTTCTCCTCCAGGATCTTCGTGCGCACCCACTCGAGCGTCCACAAGCTCTGGTTTTTCGGCAGGCTCAATCCGCATGTGTAATGCAGCCACGACTCCGGCAACAGCGAGAGCACCTTCATGCACTTGGTCTGCTCCGGATACACGATCCCCGCAATCGCCAACTTCGCGTAGAGGTCGCGCATTTTGTCTAGAACAGGTTGCACCGGCTCTAGCTCGCTTAGGCACAACGCAGACAGCTCCCTCTCCATCATGAGCGTTGCGGCGACGGAGGTGGGGGCGTGCAGCTCCTTCAGCACAGTCCACGCCTTCGGACCGCACTCAACCTCCGGCATCAGGCTCTTGAGGTGGTGACGCTGGTTCAGCTACAAATTCTGCAGCATCAAGTAGTAGCCAGTCGAGGCACGCTCGTCCCAATCTTCCTGCAGCGCGGGGTCACTCGGTCTAGGCTCCTTCCCAATGATTAGTTTCAGCAAACCGATCTAACGGAAATAGAGTTGCATTTTCCAGGCCCAATCATCATAGCCCTCACCATTGAACTTCTCGACGGTGAAGTTCTTCTGCACCTCCTTGATCAGGGTGCCCTGGTTTGTTCCCGCTCCCCTTGGCGCCGAAACACTGTTGGGTGCAAATTCACATTGCACAACATCCTGCCGTCTGTTTGTACGAGTATGCTTATGCGAATGCATTTGTGTGTGAATGGAATGTTCGTGTGTTTGTTTCTTTTCGCAATTTTCGCTTGATGAATTTGCAGGTACTCGCGCAATGTGCGCTTCGGCACAACATTGTACGCGCTATGAACAGTACAAGTAGAAATGACGAGCTCGCAAAGGAACCCAAGCTGGAAGCTTTGCGGTTCGGATTACTTGATTGCGCAGATTCAGTTCTATCCAACTCGAAATTGTACTGTTTTGTTTGGTTGACTATAGTGTAGCAGGGCAGGCACTATAGAGGTACAATTTAGGTGAAGGTTGGATGTTGTTTGCCTGTATCTGCATGCTACAGGGCCAGGGGAAACCAGCGGAACCAGCATTTGGCTGGTTGGGCAAAGACAAAACAGGTTCTGTTTTTAGGACCTGAACCTGGTTGTTGTTTTCCCAGGTTGGAAAACAGAACCAGAGGTTGTTTACCAACCTACCACCTGCTGTTTTGTCCAGCAAGGTTGGTTCTGTTGCTTTGAATTATTTGGGATCATCCTTGGTTGTTCCCAGCTTGATTCCCAAGGAACTTGCTAACTAGAACTATTTATTCCTTCTCTGTTTGTACCTGGGTATAGTCAATTTAATTCAAGCAAATTCCTCCCTTCCTGGAATTTTGTTTCTACGCGGTACGACGGCGGAATGCTACCCGAGTCAACGCTAGCATGCTAGCGCCCCAGTGCTAGGCAAACGCTGTACGAGTGATAACTCCGTAATGGCAAAACTTTTCGCGAGACAACTTGGCTCTTGGAGCGAGCTTCGATATAGCAAAGTCATTCTTGACTCCTCTCTCTACAAACTCGGACCCAAGGATAGGGGCTGGTCTTGTACCAGGCACCCAAGGACCCTTGGAGGTGACCCCGAAGAGAGGTTTTAAGTTTGATTAAGTCTTAATAGCTTGAATTTATTAGGCCCTTACACCAACAAGCTGGTATCAGAGCTGCGTTATAGTGATCCTCATTATAGGTAGCTATGGCGGGCAATACCTCGGCGGGAGCTGGTGAATCTTCAGCCCAAGATAGTAGTGGCAGCCAAGATTCTGGTGTTTCAGGGCCAAGGGGAGCGCGAACAAACCAGGGCTCGCTGGTCAAGGAGGTGCTGAAGAACTTCACCGTCGAGAAGTTCAATGGTGAGGGCTATGATGATTGGGCCTGGAAAATGCAACACTGTTTTCGTCAGATTGGATTGCTGAAACTAATGATTGGGGAGGAGCCTAGACCGAGTGACCCCACGCTGCAGGAAGATTGGGACGAGCGCTCCTCGGCTGGCTACTATTTGATGTCACAGAGTTTGGAGCTGAACCAGCGTCACCATGTCATGCACTTGCTGCCGGAGGTTGAGTGCGGTCCAAAGGCGTGGACCTTGTTGAAGTAACTGCACGCCCCGACCTCCGTTGTTGCAACGTTGATGCTTGAGAGAGAGCTGTCCGCGTTGCGCCTGAGCGAGGGAGAGCCGGTGCAACCTGTCTTGGACAAGATGTGCGACCTCTACGCGAAGCTGGCAACCGCGGGAATCACCAACCCGGAGCAGACCAAGTGCTTGAAGATGCTCTCGCTGCTGCCGGAATCGTGGCTACAATTCACGAGCGGATTGAGCCTGCCGCAGAACCAGAGCTCGTGGACACTCGAGTGGGTGCGGACAAAGATTTGGAGGAGGACTTCCGTCGCCGCCAACTGAGGGGTGGAGACGACGGCAGCAGCGGCTATGGGATGCAAGGGAGCTGACGTTGCAGAGGACGTTGCTTCGGTGGTGCTGGACGCGGTGCAAAGAAGGACGACGACTCCAACGACCAACAAGGAGGTACCGGTTGGGGTCGCGGTGCGAAATCTGGACGTTGGGGCAAGTCGGGTGCTGGTGGCAAAATGAATGGGAGTTGCTGGTATTGAGAAGGAGGGGCACCTCTGGTTTTTGTGCTGTAAGAAACCCGATGGATGGACCCCCCAGAATCGTCACCAGGATGGTGGCGCGCGGAGGAACCAGAAAAACGTCACGAGCATGGTCGCCGATTCGTCCGACAACAACCCGAAGAGCAACGGCGGTGCGGAGAAGAAGAAGGAGCGCACCGCGGGCCAGTTCTTCCATATTGGAGAGCAGGGGGAGCAAAGAGACGCCTCTGCCAAGGTTGGAGCAGAGCTGCACCCCCTGGACTGTTGGGTGTTGGACACGGGTGCTGCTTGGACGATGACGCCGCGCAAGGACCTGTTGGACAGCGTACGCGCTGCACCGATCAATGAGGTGTGCTCTGCCTCTGGACACGCGCTGAAGGTGGCTAGTGCAGGACGAGCTGCGTTTAAGGGAGCGGATGGCAAGCCGGTGGTGCTGCACGACATTCTCCTCGTTCCTGAACTTAAGGCCAACCTCATCTCCCTCCGTAAGCTTGGCAAGGCTGGGGTGAGCACTAGCACGGATGGGGCACGCACTTACAAGGGGCAGCTGGGCAATCGGGTGCTTTGGGATCTGTACGAGAGCAAGGATGTGTACAGATCCATGTGGCAGCTGCCGGCGTTGGCGTGGCATGGTGGGGGGAAGGCTGGAGAGGGGTCTGCATCCCAAGGGGAGTGCAACGCCGTTGGAGGGGTTGGTGTGAAAGTATCGGCCAGATTTGGGAAGACGGATTGGGCAACGGCACACCGACGCTTGGGGCATGTGGCAATGCCCTTGTTGAAGCAGTTGGAGAAGGATGGAGCGATTAAGGGTCTGAAGCTGAACGGACAGGCACCCGATGATAACTGTGAAATCTGTTTGCTCCCGAAGTTGACCCGTTTCCCCTTCCATAGAGTGACTGGCAGAAGCAAGAAGCCTTTAGAGTTGGTCCACATGGACTTGGTGGGGCCGCTGCCGGTTCAGAGGTACAAGGGGGAGCGGTATTTTCTGACCATAGTGGATGATTGGAGCAGGCTTATGTGGGCATATCCGCTGAAGCAGAAGGACCACGCCGCCTCTACGATACGAGAATATTGGCTGCCATTCGTGGAGAAGCAAGCGGAGTGTTTGGTGAAGCGGATTAGGACAGATCGTTGTGGTGAGTTCCTTGGAGCTGAGATGACAGCCTGGCTCAAGAAGCAGGGCATTCAAAGGGAGCTGACCACGGCTTAAGCCCCACGGTTTAACGGTGTAGCAGAACGGGCGAACCGGACAATTCTGGAGACAGCTAGGGCACTGCTCATAGAACATGGGCAGGGCATCTTGATGTGGCCCCATGCTACCCGGCTCGCTACCGTGGCCAGGGAAAGGGTGCTCACTAAGGTTGGTGATGACTCGTGGGTGCCGTTGGAGAGGTGGCTTGGGAGGAAGCCGCCGGTGGACATGCTGAGGGTGTTCGGTTGCATGGCAGTCGCCCACGTCCCCAAGAAGTATCGAGTGCAATCTGGTATGTGCATTTGGGGCTGGCTGCTGAGAGCAAGGGATGGCTGCTGTGGGAACCTTCCAAGGGTGTGTTGTTTGACAGCAGGGATGTGAATTTTGTTGAGGGCACGATGTACGGGAGCTGGGAGAAACAGCCGGAGGCCAGGGTGTCCCAGCAGATGGAGCAGATCACCATGCAGCTGGACCTGACTCCTAGTGTGTGGGAGGAGGGAGAGGAGGCAGCTGCAGAGGGTGGTGATGGAGAGAAGATACAGGAGGCACCTACTGGTGGAGAAAATGATGTGGAGACTTGTGGTGGCACTAGTGGAGCTGCTGGATCCGAGGGAGGAGAGCAGCAGCAGGGAAAAACTAAGAAGCCGAAGGGAGTCGTTATGAGGGGATGGGA